TGGTTTCCATTTATTTATGTCTTCTTTAATTTCCTTCAGCTTGTATTTTTCATTGTACATGGTTTTTACTTCTTTGGGTTAGTTAAATCCTAAATATTTTATTCTTTTTGATGCTATTGGAAATGTAATTCTTTTCTTAACTTTCTTCTTTGGATTGTTCATTCTTAGTGTGTAGAAATGCAACAGATTTTGTGCATTGACTTTATGTCCTGCTACTTTGTGGATTTGTTTGTTCTAATAGTTTCTGTGGAATCATTAGGATTTTCTACATATATATCATCTGAGAACAGTGATAATTTTATATCTTCCTTTCCAATTAGGATGCCTTTTATTTCTTTTTCTTGCCTGATCGTTTTGTTAGGACTTCCCATACTATGTTCAATGGAAGTAGCTCTCTGACATAGTTTTTAATCAAGGATACTTGTTCATAATTTTGACATTATCTGAACTTTTGCAATATATTCTCCTATGGGCATATGGAGATAACTAAAAAATATTAGTCGTTTCCTTGATTTTTACCATATGACTTTCAGGTGAAAAGGAAGTTCTGGGATGATCTGACCAGAAAGGTCGCCTCTGCCGCACTAAAAAGATGTCACGACCTGACTTGCAGTTTATGCTAGCAAACCAATTTGCTGATAAGAAAAATAAAATGATTGAATTAGAAAATATTTACCTGTTAAAAGTATTATTATTAGAGACTTTGGGTTTTTTTAGTGTAGTTTTTTAGATTTATTGAAAAATTAAGCAGATAGTACAGCATTCCCACATTACCTATCAACCCCACCACCACCCTAGTTTCCCCTATCATTGATATCTCACATGAGTGTGGTGCATTTGTTATAATTAGTGTGTCCATGTAGATATACTATTATTAACTAAAGTCCAAACTTCATTTAAGTTTCCTTAGTTTTTCCCTGATGTCCTTTTTCTGTTGTAGGACATCATATTACATTTAGTTGTCCTTAAGTTCCTTTTGGATATGACAGTTTCTCAGACTCCTTTTTTTCTGATGACCTTGACAGTTTTGAGATGTCCTGGTCAGGTATATTTTGTAGGATGGCCCTCTGTTGAAATTTGTCTGATAGCTGATTTCCTTTTTAGTATGTATTATAGAATAAGATCTGATTGTGCTTAGGTGACTAGAGGTGCCTGCATCAGGATATTGTTGTACTTAGTTTTTGTTGAGGACAAGGGTGGCAGCTGTATTTTTCTGTGGGGACAGGGGAGAAGAAGCATACAACTTTAGGGAGCAGGAAAAGCAGCCAGATGTCATGATCTCAGAGAGGAAAAAGGGTGCTTGTGTCTCATTCTCAGTGTCCTCATCAAAGGACACTCCCTGGTGGTGCCTGTAGAAGCCCCTTTTGGGCTGCACATCCTTTTGTTTCTATCTGGTACCGAAAATTTTGGCAGCGTTGGGACTATTGGTACTTGTGCCTGGGGAGCTATTCTGAGGGTCTTTGTAGCTCAGGAGGCTGTTGCATGCTCTTTTTGTTCATTTTATGCATACTGCAGGGTTTTAAGAAGCTGAACAACAGCAGCCCTTTACACCCAGTGAGCGCTGTGGACGAGCTGTAGAGATAGGGAGTTTAGCAGAAGGCTGGGGATAGGCATGGATATCCCTTGCTGCTGACAAACTCTAGTTTTCTTGACTGGTGGCAGCCTATGCATAGCTCATATCTTATCATCATTAAACCATTTTTCCCTTTAAAATTAGGCTTCAAGAAGTGGGGAGGGAATTGGATTTAGGGAATGTATCTTGAGTTTTCCTAGTGACTTTTCCCATGTAGATTTCTACTCGTGTGTCTGAGGTTCTCTTTGGTGTGGGGGGTATGGTGAGTATGTGGGGATGGCTTGATTAGCGATCTGTGGCTCGCAGAGAAACTGAACATTGTGGTCATACTTCAGTTCTCCTGATGAGAAGCACCATAAAAAATATCACTATTAAAATGTGGTCTGTGATGGTGCTGATGAGCAGGCTTTGGATAGTAATCCACTCTGCATTTTACTTATTGCATAGTACATGACTATAACCAATATTTTACTGCATATTCCATGTCTCTGCTCAGGAGCTGCTTGTTCTCTGGACAGTAATGGCACAATTTACAGAGGAATAAAATGCCATCAACCCCTCACTCACACACACACGGACACGGACACATGCACTCACCCTCCCCACTCTACCAGAGAGCTAAACTTCGCTAGGCCGATGGTGGCAGAGTGTGCAGTTCCTGAAGAGGAGGTTTCTAATCAGGGAGATGCTGAGCAGAGAGAGTCTGCTGCTGGGGCCTCAAATTTACAGCTCCAAGAATCCATTTGCTGCCACTCCTGCTAACGCATTAGAAGGGGTGACGAATCCCAGTAACTTGTCACAGAGGATGCTTAGATCTTCACATTCTGTAATCAAGGGGTGAAAGTATGAGCACTATGATCGCTTCCCTTGTTTTATTCCTTGCTGAGCATGACTAGGAAGCAGAGAATGTTTAGGTATTTCTAATGTCTTGATTATAGGAATTTCCCTATGTTTTAAGCAATTGACAATTTAATAAGAGTTAGTTTTGGTTTAAGAGAAGGTGTAGGTGTGCCCAGCATTAAGATTTTGGAAATACTGTGATGTATGTGCCCTTGAGATGTCTGACAATTACCCTGTTATCCTTTGGGTATCCTTTTGAAGGAGGAACTGTATTGATTTGCTGTACTAGCTATTTTGTTCAGTATGGTTTCCTGGAATATTTTTTTCTTTTCTTCGGTTTGAAGTTAGAATTGCACATATTATGGAAACTTCACCCCCCAAATGTTCTGTCATCCATTTTATGATACCTTTCCCTTCATTCAACTGTGGCATTTTGAAGAACAGGAAAACCGTTCACTGAGGTATTTCTATTTTGGTCAATTGTCCAAACCACTACCGGGATTCCATCACTATGAACATTTTTACTTATCATTAATGTGTCTAGATGGTAGCGGGAATAGGGTGTAATCTTTTTTGTTTTTCTTTCAGTTACTGAATCTATTTTTGGTTAAACCTTCTAGGTAGTTTGTAAATTCTAAGTTTATGGACATGTTTTTGTGATTGAGCTGGTGTTAAGGGGCTCTTTGATTTGGAGGCGCCTGTGTCCTTTGTTACCACCTATACCCAGGTAACCAGACTTGACCTTGGTCCTGATGTGATGACACATTATGCCTTTGGTTACTTTTGATCTTCAGGTGTTTCTGGCTAGATGAATTTTTGGTTCTGGCTCTTTGGGTTTTAGTGTTTAGCCTTTATGATTTTCAGATCTGTCAAAAAGGGTATAGAAGAATGGTCATGGTTGAGACTCTCTTTTTGCTGCTTTTAGAGTTGCAAATTAACCTTATGTATAGTAGAAAATTAAAAGTTTTCTAATTTACACAGGTTCTTTTTCAGCCCATTTATTACTTTTCTGATCCATGAGCTGTTCTTCTCTGCACTGTTTCCATTATTTATAGTATAAAACGTGGGGATGTCTTCCCATCTACCAGCCATAGTCAGCCTTCCATGGACCTACAACTTGATTCCAATTGTCATTCTTTCCTTTTCATTCATTCTGTTTGATAGCACTTAGCTCCTGCTGTTTCCTGTTGTGTATGCTTTTTCACTTGTTTTTGTTTTTTGTCTGTCTTCAGATTGTCCCTTAAAGCATTCTTTACTCTTTTTGGTGTGTAGTTGCCTAGTCTTTGGAAAAGATGGATAATTTCTGTTTTCAGAGCAGGCTGCAAGTAAATGGGTACGTTTTGTGCTGAAAGATAGGAGGCCTTTTAAGAAATAGTGAGGCTTCCTTTAAGATACTTATCAGTGTGACATCTATGGTGGCAAAGGCCAGTATTGCTTTTTTTGTTTCAGTGCATAAAAGAAGAGTGACATTTGGCTAGTCTACCCTCCCTGTGTGGCAGCTGACCTTAGAAGTTTGTTCAGTCTGATAGCTCCTGAAGGGGCCTGATTGAAGCCTAGAAGAGTTTGATTTTGATTCTGTCGATGAAGTGGATGGTGACAGTGTTTTGTAGTCAGCAGCCACCTTGTAGCAAAGTATTGCTAGCAAAAAACCCGAACAGCCTTGAAACAACAGGTTCTGAATATAATTGGGTGTGAACTGTAGACTGGCGTGTGCTGGGGAACATAGAGGCAGCTGGTTGTACTATGGATTCTTGTTATAGTCTTGATGTGGTACTGTCCTCGTTTGAATGGGAGTTTTATTCTGTACACATTGGTAGAATGTTCTCGTAACCTTCAGAGAAATATTTGTGCTTTTGACCTTCAGATAGATATCCTTGTAAGTTATCCCAGACTGGAAATTAGTCTTTTTCAGCTGAGTGGGGGTGGGGATGTCCGATATTAATGATTTTAGATTCTAAAACAAAGATGTCCATAGTAGTAGTGCTCTGAAAAGGTGGTGCTCAGAGTACCTGAGGTAATACCTTAGTGATTTAATGTTCCTGCCTGTGAGATTAACAGCTGAGCATCTTCTTTCCCATGCTGAGATGATAGTTCTTTTCGCCCTTCACTTGCCTTTGATTTTTCTGCTCTCTCTTGCAGAATCCTATTTTGATTTTTTCTTGTCTAGTCCTGGGACCTTCTTCCAATCCAACCCTTGTCTCTGTTCCTAGATTCATGTTGACATTTCAATTTTAGTTTAGAACTTGTTTCAAGAAAGATCTTCAGTAACATGTAGAGACTGGATTTTCAGTTCTTAAGCTTTGTAGTTAACTACATGTCTTGGTCAGGGAAACAGATTAAAAAAAAAAAAAGATTTACCCTATTTATGAATGCCTTAGATTTTGTCTCTTTGAGAAATCATAATAAGGTCTCTAGGAACAGATATATTTGTTTTCTCTGACATTGTTGCACCAAGAAGGATGATATTGTTTCTACCAAAATGACTGTTGATCTTAATTTCTACCCATAACTGTGGTGGGCCTTGCTGTTTGGCGTGTGCTGGGGAACATAGAGGCAGCTTTAAGCATCTTTGCCTTGTTGCTCACAGGTGATGCAGGTCCTGAATGCGGATGCCATTGTTGTGAAACTGAACTCCGGAGACTACAAGACAATCCACCTGTCCAGCATCCGACCACCAAGACTGGAAGGAGAGAATACCCAGGTGAGAACAGTGAAGCAGCCAAGGCACTTTGCAAAACCAAAGGGAAGAAGCTGGAGAATTAGATAAATATGATACATATAGTATATGTGAGAATGCAAAAGGACAAGTATTTTAAATCTCTAGAACATTATTTTGTAATATTTGTACCTTCACTACCATTGGGCAAGTCTCAGTGTCTGGTGAACCATACTCACTGCTCTGCTACATTTCAGATGGACACTGTTGGCACCTCTGTCGGGGAGCTTGAGAGCAGTTGGGGTGGAATATGTGGTGGATGAGTCTGATTTATTAAGATCTTATTTCTCTGAATAAGGAAAGGAGAAGCTCTGTATCTCACGTACATGGTAATAAGGCCTATTTCTGCTGATCGTTTTGATAGTTCTTTATGCTTTTGCTCTAGAAAGAAATGAACCTTGGTGTACATATTCATTGGGGTCACCTACTCATCTTTTGCAGGTGTTAACTATAATTATTAGTTACACTGTTGTGTGCTATTTTGTGGATTTTTTGGCAAGTAGGTTGGTGTATGACGTGAGTATATCAATTCGGAGAAATTATGTTTTGGATGAAAACTCCGAGAGTTGATATTCAGCATGCAGATAGGCAGAGTTTTTTTGTTTTATATTTCATTGTTGTTTCCTTTCTATCTTTATCAATTGTGAGAGATTGGGAATAGGGATTGAAGTTGAACATTTTGGGGGGGTTTGGTTATGCCTTGTTTTTACACACCTTTCTTATTCCTATGTTTGCCCTCTGATAACTAAAGTGTCTGTGTTGACTAGTTATAGAACTAGATCCTCAGTGAGAGAGCCAGTGGCAAAGGCAAGCATTTAGACAGTTTTCAGAAATTAGATATTGTGGCTAAAGTTAGTGCCATGTATGGTCTACCTTTTATTTATTTATTTTTCTAAAGAGACAGTGTTTTGCTATGTTGCCCAGACTGAAGTGCAGTGGCTATTCACAGACATAATCATGGCATACGACAGCCTCAAGCTCCTGGTCTCCATTGATCACCTTGCCTCACTCTTCTGAGTAACTGGGACTTATAGGCAGGTGCCACTGCACCCAGCTTATCTGCCTTTTTTATTTATCCCTTTTGTAGTTTTAAAGATGTGACATTTGCGTTTCTGATGTTTTGCACATACACACTTCTTGGTGCATTCACAAGTTGAAATGCATATGCTATTATCACTTGTGTGAGAGTTTATAGATAGCCCATAAGAGTAAAATGAAAATATCATGATTGTCTTTTGATCAGATAGATCATGCATAAAAAACCCATGTAGAATGGATGATTCGAATGTCTGGCCAGTCAATTCCTTTTCTCCCCTTTTTCCCCATAGAGAAGGCAGTTTAATGCAGCAAACGGTATTGTGGTGAGGATGAGAATTTAAATGCTTAAAAGCTCAGAAATGCCAGAGTAAGTCTCTCTTAGTAACTGTAGCTCTGCCTCATTGCATAGAAGAGTAAATGCACATCTCCAGTTTTATCAGTATTGAAGAGAGTCCACAATTCTGCATCTGTGTTGTGTAGTTGGAATTAAGGTTCCCACAGCAACCACAACTTTGAAATTCTTGAACGTTAATTTTTGTGCCTGCATCATCAGTCAATGCATTGTGTCTGTAGCGGAATTTCAAGCAGTTTTTAGGGAGTGGGGGTGCCATAGCTTAGGTAGAATGATAAGTTTTCTGAAGTAAGAACTGAGTATTTTTAGTTGTCCCAAGATCCTATGGAACTCTTTAGTGAGTAAGCAGTGCATTTCCTTTAGTCTACTGGCTGACGGGAAATTGTTGGAATATACGTCCTAGTTTAGGTAGGATCCTGATTACAGAATTTCTTTTTTCTTACAAAGGCATGTTACCTCTTTCTTCTTCTTTGCTGTTCACTCCTGAGGTCTTACTCCATTTTAAGAAAGTTCTAAGTAAGGCTTAGCTATAACAGTCTATAACATATGGCTTATGAGGGAGATGAGGAATGATTTTCATTATTTGTTCGTTAAAATTCTTTGGAAGCATTTTCTGAGGGGCCACATGAGAAATAAATTAATACCACTTACCTTGAGTAGATGGTGGAGGGCACCCTGAAAATAAGCCAGTTTTGATGGGAGACTGGGACTGTTAGAGCAACGGCTGTACATCATGAGTGTTCAGGGATGAGAAGTGAGCAAACGGGAGGAAGTGATCTCTGGACCAGCACTGACCAACTGATCCACAACGTGAGCCACACAGGCGAGCTATATTTGTTATTTTAAATTTTCAAGTAGCTATGTTAAGAAACTAAAAAGAAACATTAATTGTAATGCTTTTATATGACTTCCAAATTTTTATTATTAATACATATTTTTTTGAGTTGGAGTCTCACTGTTGCCCAAGCTGGAGTACAATGGCACGCTCACAGCTACTGCAGCCTTGACCTGCTAGGCTCCTGCCGTCCTTCCACCTCAGCCTCCCAAGTAGCTTGGACTACAGGTATGTGCCAGCATGCCCAACTAATTTTTTTTAAAAATTACTGTAGAGATGAGGTCTCACCACATTGCTCAGGCTGATCTTGAACTCCTAGGCTCAGGCAATCCTCTTGCCTCAGCCTCCTAAAATGCTGGGACTGCAGGCATTAGCCACTGCACCAGGCCTCAAATTTTTATTATTTCAACATTTAATGAGGTAGTTCCCTCTCCTTTTTTAAAACTAAGTCTTTGAAATAATATTTTACACTTGTAGCACATCTTTCTCCATTCTAGCATATTTTAAGCACTTAATAGCTACATGAGGCTAGTGGCTACAGTTATGTACAGCATAGCTCTAGAAATTGAAATGAACAGATGAGCCATCGACAGATACTTACTGGGCATGTATTTTGTGCTGGGTATTGTGCTGGGGATGCAACAGGGAATAAGCAGACTGTCTTGCTTCACCCTTACGGAACTTTAATTTTTTTTTTTTTTTTTGAGTTGGAGTCTCACTCTGTCACCCAGGCTGGAGTGCAATGGCATGCTCACAGCTACCTTAGCGTCAACCTGCTGGGCTCAGGTGATCCTTCCACCTTAGCCTTCCAAGTAGCTGGAACTGCAGGCGTGTGTTACCACACCTGGCTAATTTTTTGATTTATTTTAGAGATGAGGTCTCGCCAAGTTGCCCAGGCTGTTCTTGAACCTGTAGGCTCAGGCAGTCCCCTCACCTCGGCCTCCCAAAGAGCTGAGATTACAGGCTTGAGCCACCAAGTCCAGCCAGAACTTTAAATTCTAGTAGGGGAAATACACAAGTCATTTCATTTGTGTTAAATGCTGTGAAAGAAAAATTTAGAGTATAGGAGATTGCATAATTTGGGAAGGCTTCTTTGAGGAAGTGACATTTACTTTATTTTATTTTTTTTGAGTTGGAGTTTCAATCTGTCGCCCAGACTGGAGTGCAATGGCCGTTCCCGGCCACCTCAGCCTCGACCTGCTGGGCTCCGGCGATCCTTCCGCCTCAGCCTTCCAAGTAGCCGGAATTACAGGCATGCGCTACCACGCCCGGCTGATTTTTTGATTTATTGTAGAGATGAGGTCTCGCTGCCCAGGTGGGTCTCGAACCCGCGGGCTCAGGCAATCCACTCACCTCAGCCTCCCAAGGGCGTGGGATTACAGGCTGAGCCACCGAGCCTGGCTGAGGAAGTGACATTTAAAGTCTGGAGGGTAATTAGGAGTTAGCTAGATGAAAATGGGAGAAGATAATTTCTGACCTGAGGAGCAGCAATGACAAGAAGGAGGTGAGTTTTGGGAACTGGACAATGGATAGCCACTGTGGATGGTGCGTGTGTGGTATGACACGTGTGTTATACGAAACTTTAGGCAGGGCAAGCTTATACACATCCTGTTGACATCTCAGGATACTTATGAACAGAGAGAGAAAACAGCCTGTAATTTTATATGACTGGAATAGAGGATGGTTAACTGCTAGGGAGTGGTAAGAAATGGACTTGGGAGTTAGGCATGGGCCTCGGGTTGAAGACTTGTATGCCATGCTTTTTAGGTTTTGTCTTAAAGAATTTGAAACTAGGGAAAGGCATGTTGGGATTCAGATACTCTAATTTTGGTGGTTTAAACTTATAAGATATGAAAGCAACTGGCATTTATAAGAGGAGATTGTACTAGATAAAAACTGATTGCAGAGAGAAGCTCTGAGATTTCTTTTGGTAAACCTCAGTTGACCAAGGACAGGAATGGTGTGACCAGCAGTCTCTGTTTACACTGGAGGATTCAGAGTACCTGCCTTTCTGTGTAAAGAATTTCCCAGAGCTCCTATAGGGAGTGCAGGATTCTGCTCTATGCTTATCTTAAAGTTACTAGAGATTTTCAGTAAATAAGGGTGTAAGAAGAAAAATCACATGGAAACCCTAGTGTGGCTATGATGTATCATATGTTCGTAAAGACTAGGTAAAAGGTGTTCCCTCAGAGTCTTGGGTTTCTAGTTTCCTTAATTATATACTGACTGTTTTCGCAGTTATAGGGGCAGCCCAGTCAAGTATTCAAGGCGTAGGTGTTGGGGCCAGGACCTCTGTTAGCCCATATGGCACCTTTATGCACATTTAGAGATTGGTGTTCCTTCCTCAGGCAGCCTCACGTCATAGCACATGGCTTGGCAAGCAAAGTGAAGGCCGGATTTCAGCTCTTGTTCTCCCTGTGTCCCTTTGGCCGAGTGCTCTTCTGCAAGGCACAGTGTGCACAAGAATATGTGCCTGTCCTAGTTGGAACAGAGCTGGTGAAATCTCTAAGGAAAGCATCAAGGATGTGTTTGGAAATTGGGGAGTGGTCTTGTAGTTACAGAAACACAGAGTGCTTGAGGGTTGTTTAGAAATGAAGGTGTGCTCTGATTGCAGTACTCTCTCCACGGATCAGTAGCTTTGAAAAAAGATGAGATAAGCTGGGCTTGGTGGCTCAGCCTGTAATCCCAGCACTTTGGGAGACTGAGGCAAGTGGATTGCCTGAGCTGGCGGGTTTGAGACCAGCCCGAACAACTTGGCCA